GGGGGGGGGGGTGGGGGGGGGGGTTAGTTCAATATGTGGTACCGAAGTTGTACTACTGTAGTAAGGCAAAAAAAAAATGCTCGTATAAACAGCCAGAGGGTAACATCAAAACGAATGGGCCGCTAGTGCTTGAATACCAGAACTGAAACTTGCAACCCAAGAATAACGAAAAAAACACGCCAAAAAATGTAGCTAACTCCGTTTATGGCCCGCCGAACGGAGTTTGTTTAGCCCGTCTGCTTAGTTGGTTGGACGAAAGGCATGCTCCAATTTATCGTTGTATCCTTCGACTTCAACTCTTGCATTTGGTTCTTGAGGGAAGACACACATGATCGCCTTGGCAGTTTTCCACCCAAGTTTTAACAACCGTGGAGACCGAACAATTTACGTGTTTTCTGGGGGAAATCTCAGAAGAGGTAGAGGGGGAGGGGGGGCTTAAGCAACATGGAGGGACCGAGAAATAGGGCATTCCCCACAATGCTGTATTTTCTGAAATAGTGTGCTCCTTTGCTAAGGCAAGCGTGTGCTCTTTTTTTGGGCCAATTGTGCTCGAAAATAATGCCCAAAACTGTCAGTTACGCTCGTGTTTCGGCTATTCATGCTAGATTCGGCCAAAAATGCGGGACTTATAAACCAAAATTTCGATGTGACTTTATGCTTGTTGGCGCCCGAGCAGAAAGGTATGATCCCGATATCTCTTGCAATAACTATTTATTACCTGTCTCTCTGTGGTCGTTTGGCTCTCGAAACACACGGAACAGAACAAGCTCGATTCGCTCCTCCCCTCCCCACACCCACACCCGACAGGGTAGGGAAAACATTTTGAGCCACCCCTTTCGCAAAGTAGGAAGGAACGATTAGCCATCAGTGATCGGTCCCATGGGAACAATGCTCCTTCCTCTGGAGGACGCGTGGTCAATTGTCTAGTCTAACAATTAAGGCATGCAAAAGATGAGTACGCACCCGCACCCCCCCCCCCCCCCCCTGAGTTCCAGGAACATGCGACCCTCACCCCCCGGGTCGAGGCTGGACCCACTGTTGAGAAAGAGTCGTAGAGGGTAGCAGCACCCTACAATACCCTAACCGTGACGCACACACTCAAACATCTGCCACTGTAAGTCCGCAGCAACCCTTACCTCCTCGTCGTCCTCTTCATCATCCTCGTCTTCGTACATGACCGGGTTCTGGAAGAACTTGAAGAAGCTTTCCGTCTTCTCCACCTGTTTCGTTATCGTTCCGGCAATGTACGGGATTTGTCAGCGGGTTTCCGTGAAACTTAGAGAACCCGAAATCAAACCGTTAGACTAGTCAGCGCTGACTAGCCTACTAACCCTAACCCTACCCCTAAATCTAATGCTAGTCTAATCGTGTGATTTCGGCTTTCATAAATCGTGATTTTTTTCTCTCCTGTTCGTGGCGGCCGATGGAAACAAACACCCTGCCGAAGCTTCATCGAAAAATAGATATCATTCATTCTTCAGTAAAATTTCGACTGAGTAATCCTGAAGGAAAGAAGAGACGCCAATCGTCGTCATGTCGAAGGGGGGGGGGGGGGGGGGGCCCTGGAATTGGCTGGCCAATCCTTTAAACCATGGACCCCCATCCCCTCCAAGGCGGGGCGAAAGGAAACCGCCGGGAAATCCCGGGCCCGGGTTCAAAAGGTTTTCCAGGGGGGAACCCAAACCGAAAGGGGCATCCTCCTTGGGGAATCCCCACATGGCATGGCCCAAGGAGGGAAGGAGGGAGGGAGGGAAGGAGGGGGGTCCCATTAAGGGTCATGAGCGGGGGAAGCATTACATACCGGACCCTGGGGAAGGGTCCCGCCTCCCCCCTCCTGGAGCCCCCTCTCTTGAACCTCCCCCTGAAGGGCCTCCCCAACAGGGTTCCCCCGGAATTTCCAGAGATCCGGGCTTCCCCCGAACCCCTCCGGAAGGGGGTCTCCCCGGGGGGGGGAAAA